CTTCGATTATGTTTTATGAACTGTCCTGAGCGTTTTCTGTAAATTTCCTTGAGCCAGCATTAGATTTGATCGAGATATAAGGATTTTAATCTTTGCTAGTAACAGGCGAAAAACCGGTTTTTCACAACAATGCCTGTGGCGAAGTTATATTTCTATACAAAAACAAATGTTGCCACTATGCTCAGCGTAATCGATTACCTATAGTCCATGGCATTTTGAGATTTCCAGAGATGTCTGCTCGGAGATAGACACGTGCTCAGGGAAAGCGAGCCCTGCCCGAACGACGATAGCTAGAGAGCCGGGAGTTGCATAACTTTGTAGAGTAACGTCCGAACTATCTACGCACGCAAAAAAATTACTAACATTGTATGTTAGTTTTCTGAGAACGGGGCTAGTTTTCCAAAGATCCTCTGAAAACCCGATCTCTGGAATTTTTTCAAAAGTTGCTTCCGCTTGTGAAAGTTCTGCTCAAGTCTTGACTATTGAACGGCGAAAATCGCAGGTCTCTATCTCATTCCTATCGAAAGTTATTCAAAAAGCATCCGAGTATACTGAGTTCTGGCGCCGATAGTAGATGAGCTAACGGGGTCAATCAATCGTCATTTTGTAGAGCGTTTTTTACTACATCTTTTCTTCATAGAGACAAATTTACAACCACTTGTTTCACTATAGAAAAATTTATTATTCAAATCGAGTCAGGACTTCTGGCCCACCCTTTATGTCTTAAGTGAATCCTCTATCTATTACCAAGTCCACTTTCTTGCTTCATTCACTTCGCGAGCGCATTTTTCTCTTACAATCGCGATATGACATAAGGTCGGAGCGCGACGGCCGTGCACATCCTATCCACCGTTTTGTTTTGCTTATACGCCTGGTATACAACTCTTACTGATTTTTCGTAAACTTTAAAAATCCTATCACATCTTAATAATCCTTTACAACATGGCTAATATAGTCTTCCGTAGTCGCGTCGTGCGGCTATGTATATCTTCGTCGAGTAATTTTTGTCGATACACAAAAATTTATTTCAATCAGAACTTTCGAATGGACAGATTCATGTTTAGTGGAAAAACTTGTTTTGTTACTGAAGAGGAATTTGTCGATCAGTAGTCCTGCCACTGTTATTTAAACAAATATACTTTATACATTCATTTTTCCATAACATATAAATACTATATAGTTATTCAACGTGAATAGTTGGTTTATATATTATTCATCCATTAAGGGAGTACGTGATTCATCGTCATTTAGTCCGTTTCTCACATTCATCAATGTAATATGATCATCATCACCATCTGGTTTTACTCGTTCAAAAGACCGTTCAGTTAAAATATATATAATTAAAATCGCAAACAGTATAATACATATGCCAAACACGTTTACAATTATACCATGTGATTTGTATGTGGAAAAAGCATTTAATCTAAATGAAAAAAGTAGAAAAAAAATTGTTTACATTATTTATTTTCATACTCCGTGGCATATTCCATTGTTCCCATTAACACGTTGGCTACAGCAAGGAAAAATATTGTTATGCCCCAGAATTTGTGAGTGGGTAAATAGAATGAGCGAGCCTCTTTGGATAATTTTGGATATAAAAAACTGATAAAACCACATAACCACTAAAAATCAAAAATATAATTAATGGTTGTATTAATATAATTAAGTTAGTTGATACCTGTAATCCAAATAAAATGACAATTCCTAAACCGACCCATGAATGTAAAGATTGTAAATTTGCATGTGGTTTTGGTTTGGCTAAGTTATGTGAATCAAAAACCGCTTTTAAACCAACACTTCCGATTATCAACGAAAGAGCTAATAATGTTGCATGCAATATCTTCACTTTTAATTTTTGTACGTCGGAAAATACTCGATAGACAAGGATAGCTATAAAAAAGAAAACTATGAATTGAGAATAACCACATGATAGTAGATTTTACATACAATTTCCATAAAGAAATATAATGCCAATTGTCATTAGTAATGGATGTAAATTAAATTCTAGATCAGGATCAGACTGCCAGGCAAATCCGCCAGCATATGATCCCATCCATATACCAACGAAAATGAGGCTTGTTAGACCAATTAATTGAGCAAGAATAACAAAAACTAGAAGAAAACGACGAGATTTATTCTCTTCATTTGAGATACCCGTCCGTGATAAACCAGAATTGGTACGCATATATAATTCCTTTAGTAATTAATTGATATTTGAATTAGATCGCTATTGTTTTAAATGCTACGACACAGGAAACGACTAGATTTAAGGCTAATCAAAATAATGAAGTACAAAATTTCGCATCACAAATGAAGATGGTGAAAAAAGAAGTTTAGTAAAATCAATGAATCGTGACGATATAGACAACGGCAGTGTACAGCGGTTATTTTTGCGTATTCATTTATATTGTATATACCCTTCTTCTATTCAGCCTCGATACTGGCAAAAACGTGTTAGCAAAATTATCAAATTTTAACTAAATACTTTTGAGGATTTATGAAGCTATTCAGTCTTGACTCCTGCTTGAGAGATATAAAAAGACCCTCTATGAATACTTAACCTGTTGAATCTTCGTCAATACTTAGTCGCTGGTCTACATAAATTTGCGAGTAAGTATAGTGCATACTAGAAAAAATTCTTGTAGTTCAGTTGTTCATAGTCGAGTGTTTTTTGAAAAATCTCACAGAATTCTACATGATTACGACTTTTTACGTTCTTTGCCTTTAGAATTTTTCACGCTACTGTTGACTAAATGTGGTGCGGCATGCTATAACTTGAAGTATATATGTGTACACTTATTATGTACTCATGTCCCATGTGTTGAGAGGAATGTAAGGCACATAAGACGAAGTACTATCGTCCGAAATTGGCTAATATAGCAGAAACTAATACCTTGTTTTCAAGATTTGCATTCTGACTTTTGTTTTGGTGTCTTATTTCCAATTTTATTGTTCACATGGTCTCGTTTCTCAGTTTTCTTGCAAGTGAAACTTCTTGAATCAAGAACTTGATTTCTTGAATTTTATTATATTAAGCAAAATCTTAATCAAATATCTTGGTAAGAAAATATAAGAAGTTAAGCGAATGTCAAGAACCGAAAATGTTAAACATTTTGAAATTTCTTGACCTCTTGCACCAAGATCTTCAATAAGATCTTCAATAAGATCTTCAGTGATTGAATCTTGTATCCAAGACCATGAGGATTCTTGACCTACAAATAGTACATAGATATTCATAGATAACAAAGCTACACAGATATCCAGTGTAAAGTGTTTGTATGTGTCTGTGAATGTCTTCATGTTTTCCCATTACCCCATATATAGCTGTACATCTGATGACTATCCTTAGTAAATGAACTTGACGATAGATACCGGAGTATCTGCAATTACTTCCGCATGATCAAATTTTTTTCCATTCACCGTTTTATTTTGCGTTCAGACATATATAAAAGAAAAATATATGCTTACAAGAATGATGTACGTTCACATAATTACTTAAAAAGGTTGACCGTTTAGGTACCTGCCAAGTAATATTTTACTTGCGAGCAACTATGACATTCTTGTAGCCGGATATCTAACTCAGATACCTATGTTCAAATACATTCACTAGGGTGTATAACAAAATATAAATAAAATTTTTCATTCAAGCTCTTGAAATTTCTGTTCATACGATCATGGCTAATATCTTTACTTCTTCGCGTTTTTTACCAAGATCTTGTGACACTTCTTAACCAAAAGTACAACAAGTTTCATGAGCTGGTATTACAATTAGGTATGCTTTATTTCAATTAGTAGAGGAAAACTCATTAATATAAATTCATGGCTGAAAGATCAACGATTATATAGTTCATTAATTATCACACATTTTGGATAACAGAAAAGGATGTTATCTTTAGATGTTATCGAGCACCGTATATATGAAGTTCTTCATTACAACAAAGGCTTTCGTATGATGTTAAAAATTTGGTCAGTTTTTTGATGTTTTCAACGAAAAAAAACATTTTTGTTAGAATATCTCACAGAGCAGCTGTGTTCTATTTCAAATAACATCGTTTGATAAAGGATTCAATAAGCTTTCTTTTGCATGTAAAATATATAGTTTCTGTCAACTTCTCACTCGGAATAGCATTTCGTTTTTTCGACTCTGATGAAAAGTCAGTGGTACCACAGGTTATTATAAAAGCATTCATTTCGACTGTTATAAAACACGTACAAAGCTAATTTTTTTGTGCAGCAATAGTGCTCTATCCTTACCTTATGAAATTCAGCATAAAACGAATGAAAAGAGATAATCTTTCTTATTGGATGAAATTTTTTGTAAAATGGTTTTCCGGTGTCTTTTGTTCTAAGATTTTTGCGACGTTCGAGAAACATTTCTAATCAAGCACTTTTATATATTTTTTGTACTAGACACTTTGTTCTTTCTAACAAAAATAAGAATCAAGTCTCTACGATATTCCATCGCAATACTATATCAGAAACAAAATTAATGTAGAACTTTTGCCCCCACCTGTTAGATAGATGTTTTAAAACAAAACAGCTCATATAGAATTTAATTCATTTTTATCACGTGAAAACTAAAACTGACCGAGAAACGCGTCAGAGATCTTGATTGTTTCCGTTATTGTACGATTCATTTACTTATGGCTCTGTAACAGACATACCATCACATACTAAATCTGAATTATTAGTTGACAACTCTACTCTCACAGTGATGCAAATAATATTCTAAGAAATCTACCACTAAGAATGCAAGAATCAATAGACGCACTTTACTTATGATGTCAGAGACGGAAATAAGATATTCAAAGTACAAAATAAAATATTTGCACATCACAAATCATTCGAAAAACAAATAAAACTAAAAAAGTCAGTAACGATTTTTTCGTTCTTGATCCTAATCTTTGGAAAAAAAATGAATTGCTTCTGAAAATGTTTATTTTAAAAAAAGTTGCTTGGAAAAAAATTTTGCTATGCTAAAAATGAATACTATGGCAAAAAGTACAGAACTGTTTCCTGTCCTACTTCAAGAATGTCACGATTCAAAATAAGATTATTGATTATTTTTATCGAAGTCAAGTTTGGCAAGAAAAAGAAAAGGTGAATAACTGGTTAGATTCAGAAAACTCAACTTTGTCAGAAATATTGAAACCATTTGTGCTGAGATAAAAGCATGAAAAATGTTGCCTGTTGTTGACTTTTTTTTAACTTCTTACTCATTTACTCCACTGTTATTCTTGTTTTTCAAAATAAATGTAATTTTTGAAATCTTCATAAGAATTAGATTTATTTTCAACCCTTGCAAAATCAAACTCCTATATAACTCTGAATAATGAAATTTAATATATTTTCTGACTGTACGCTTTGATTACCTCATTTATCTATTTATATTCAAAAGTATATTTAAAAGTCTTCGATGGAATATTGAATAGAATAATCATTTCCAACCCATTTAGAAATAATGTTTGATCAAGTGCTAACTTTTTAAGCCATAAATCATTGAAATTCATTCTTTAAATTAGTTTTTGTATTTACAATATCTGTAACAAACATGATTGATATAACGATTGGATCTATTATCAACGGTCTTATCTGTCATAAAATATCAGAAATTAACTTTTAATATTGTTATAAAACCCCCTTATCAAAAGTAGTGATTTTCAGAAAAGTACATGGTGTGATCATCCGAAGGTTTTCCTTTTGATTGCATTGAGTTTTGTTGCCTCCATTTGCATATGGAAGAAAAACTCGAAGTTCATATATGGAGACAGCTGGGTAAGTACTAGTGAAATGAGAACAAGCAGCGAGATATTGTCTGGAAGAAATAATGAACTTAGAGCGTAGAAAAAGTGATATTAATTCGTCATTAAATATTTTACAATACATTATTAACTATAGTCATTAAATGATATTTTTTAGCTATCTGCCACAATTTTTCAACCGTATTTACGTATTATAACTAAAAATGTATTTAAGTCTTAAAAGTGGCATTTTTGCAATGGCAAATAACTGTTCGAAAACAGCCATTTGATAATGATCGTTTTTAACCATAAATGGATACTACTAGTACTGTTCACTTTTACTTCATATTTTAACAGTCTAATTTATTTGTTGTCTATATCCTTAAAAATTGCTGAGTGTCGTTTTTCAATATTTTTGGTTCTATAAGTCTCCAGTACTATCACTGGTATCAGTCTAAGAACTAGAAACTGCTTTCTCAAAATATGCTATTCACATTTCGACGATTTGTACAACCGAAAAGAAGAAGGCTTTCTAATGTTTTCAAAAAAATCAGTGTCATTTACATATCATTAATGACCGCAAAGTCAAACGGTGAACGGAATGTCTGCTATTCGCTTAACGGTCTCGAAAATGGCTGTTAATAGTTTGATAACAGTTATTTAACTGAGACTGTTAGTTTACGCTGGTCAATACACTGTTAAATGCTCCCAATGGAAAATCTGGAACACAGAAGCGTTTAAAGTGCGCTCGAGCGCAAATTTTTTAAGGAAAATCAAAGATCACACGCGGTTTAAACGCGTGTGTGTTTCCAAATTTTTCAGTAGGCTTGTTTTTTTGACTGTTAATGATGGCAGGCATTTAATTGTGATATTCTAAACTATCGATGTTTTAACCCGCTGAACAGCTGTTAAATGTTTGGTTTTTGGCCATCATCGGCAGTCAGGTAAGGGATAATAATGTGTAGGAAAACTGGCAGTTTTTTAACAGCTGTTTGCCTATTAAACGTCTATTTTTCGGCATATATTCAAGAGACATCGGTGGCGTTTCATCCAAACCCCTCTTTTTTTACAGGGCTTTCGTATCTGTTTTTACAGGGGCTTCGTAACACTATTAATCGGGTCATATCCTCTCTGTGAGATAGTCAGTCACTAAGATCACTAACAGGGCTTGCGTAACGATAATGTAAGGGACTAATCTCCAAAGATGCTCTGATAGGACTTTCATAAGACTCTTTTACACGGCTTTCGTAACGGAGTCTAAATGTACGTTTATCCCAGATATAAATGATAATGCTGTATTGTTACAAGGCTCTCGTAACGAATGCTACTTCTTATTATAAATGAAAGAGAAAACAGATAGAGACAGTGAGAGTGAATGAGTACAATCACACATCATTTTAACTTGAAAAGTTAATATACACTTCGTTACAAAAGCGCTGTAAAAGACTGTTACGAAAGTCCTGTTAGAAGACATTAATCTTCAGCTGTTTTACCGTAAAAAGCACACACAGACTTCGTTACGAAAGCCCCGTTAAAGAGCGTTACGGATGCCTTGTCATAGCATCTACGTAGATATTAATCCCTTTGCATCATCTTTACGAAAGCCCTGTTTTTTTTAATTTATGTCTTTTTACCGTGTTACGAAAGCCTTACTTTTTACCGGGCTTTCGTAATGCTAGGGGACTGGACGAAACCTGATCGAGACATCATCTGGTGTCAAATGTCAACAATAAACTATTTCTAGAAAAAATCCACAATTACGACGTTGAAAGAATAGGAGATACTGTCTGACCTTACACGATATTATTCTCCACAGAACAATGAGTTAGGTTCTGCCATAGTAACTAATTAACCGAAGCGTGGACAACGTTCATTGAACAGTAGTTTCCGTAAAAAAAGCGCTGAAAGAAAAAGTAAGAGATGATGATATAATCTGACCATCAGGCCTATAAAGGATTATCAATAAATGTCAGAATATTCTGACAGCTTATATCACTTAACTGTCTTCATTTCTTGCAACATATTTCTGTGGCACGGAATGGTCTTTTTCTCAAACTAATCTCTGTTTATCAAAATGAGATATCTCGCAGCTCCGAATGATGTCCTAATCGAAAGTTATGAGAGTCTTGCTAGAAGCTCTATAATATGCACCAAACACTAGGACCACCATATCTAGCGATGTTTACCTTGACACCCTGTCGTGACAGCAAGACTTCTCGGTCAGGAAACGTCGTGGAGAGATCGGATTGGTCTTAAGTTGAAGTTAACGGCCTTGGCTGGAGACTAACAGAACCTGATCTTTTATATTCGGTTTAGATTTGTGCTCAAAGAAACTTTCTGAAAGTTAATGATTTTTCAAATTTTTATCTTTTGTATTTGAGAAGGTAAAATATCGAAAATCGGACTCTATTAGCCTGTACGTGTTTTCGTCATTCTGGGGCTATTACAAGCTTTCCGCGACGTTTTGTCATCGAGAAATCTTCCAGCTGCGAACAGTCCTATTTTCACCCCTAACTGAGCGACATCTCCAAAACGGTGATAGATGGGGTCTCGAAAATTTTATCGAAAGTATACAATCATCAGGGGAGGGATCCTAAATCAAATCATTCTATGTAGTGATTTACCTTGTGAAATCTAAAAAAATAGTTAATTCTTGGCTTTTTTTGTTCCTTATATAAGCAAAAAAGGTTTATTGAGTTTCACTCCAAATAGGCTCTTGGTCATCGAGATAGATTTCTGATAGAGAAGACTCAGAAGACTTTTAATTTCAATTAGAAGTTGACATTTTCTCGAAGTAAAATATTTGTGTAGCTTAATATCATTACCAAAGTTGTTCTTGTTCAGATCATTCAGTAACGGATTTGTGAGAACGTGAGTAATAGCTGTACGAATCTCTACAATATGATGTTGTATATTTACATATACTATAACAACTCGATAATTTGTTTTCTTTCTTCAGAAATATGTGAAAAAAAAGCCTGTGCTTTTTTATTTTTTTTTCTTTGAACTGCACTTGAAACTGTGCTATAAACAATGTGCCGTATATTTATTTTTACGATATAATTTTTTTTCTTCTTCTGTCATCTGGATCAACATTGAGAGTAAAAAAATTCTCTTTTTCTTACTTATTATACATATGTACCTTGCTTCTCAAATGGATGAAAATAACAATATTTCCTACGACCTCTCAGCAATCAAAAATCAGCAGAGAATAATGCCAATACATAAAAAAAAAAAAAAAAAACATTTAGAAAACATTATTCATCGACTGGTATCATGAGTTTGACACTATTTACTATAGAAGGTTACTTTATTAAAAAAGAAAACGTTTCTTCAAATAAATTTACTGGGTTTGTAACATTACACAATACTTTCTTCAATGTCATATATTTTTTGATCTCTTATGATGCCATATCTCACTTCACATTTAAAATCGGCGAGTGTGTCAAGTTAGCCTTTATCCAAAACAAATTTTCAAAGATAAAATGTGATTAAAATATCTAAAAAAATAGCAAAATTCCAACACAATTTACGATATATGCATCATTCTTATTAATTTCCTGTTTTGAAAAAGCACGAATGTGTATATATGTACTCATTGTTTTCAAGCGTTCTACTATAGATATGCTTGATAAAAGAGATAAATTTTTATCAAATGATGTTAAAAAATAAATTAATTCTAAGTATTTTCCCGATCACTGTTCTTTTTCCAGATAGTTTTACATTATTTGAATGACTAAGGAAATTAATACCGTTCTTATCGGTGAGACAGGAAGTGGTAGGTATAGTTTTGATTTCTATTCTATTTATGATTAATTAAAAAAATATTTTTATTTTCAGGTAAAAGTACATTTATTAATTATTTGGCTAATTTATTTTTTGACGGATCATTAACAAATCTTAAAGTAGCTATACCAACAAAATATTTATCAACAAATTTAAATTATCTTCATAATGAAGATGATTTGGATGATGAGACGAAGAGTAAAACATTAAATTGTCAATGTTATACATTTCAAATAGAAAATGTTAATTTCAATTTTATTGATACACCAGGTATCAGTGATACTGGTGGCTATTTACAAGATAATGAAAATGTTGATAAAATATTTGATACAATTCAATCATTTAATGATATAACGGCACTTGTTCTTGTTCTTAATGGTACACAAGCAAGAATGACAATTAATGTTAAAAATGTTTTGGAAAGATTTCGTGATCGTATACCCGATATTATTTATAATAATATGATTATTATTTTAACAAAATGTCAAAGTCATACAGTAAATTTTAATCCAAAAACAATTGATTTACCATTAACATCATGTTCAGTATTTTATATGCAAAATTCAGCATTTTCAAGCGATTCATCACAATGGAATCAAATGATTACACAAATTTTACAACGTGATTGGCAAATATCAGTGAAAACAATGAATGATATAATTAAAAGATTAATATCGTTAACACCAATTTCAACTGAAACATTTAAAACTATGCAAGATGATCGAAATACAATTAGATCATTGTTACATGAATCACGTCTAATGATTATGGAAATACAACAATTAGAAGATGAAATTATTGGATTAGAGCAAGCATCTAGTATTTATAATTCAAATGTACAAAAATATCAAAATTTTATTAAAGAAAAAGATATTTTAGTTAATAAAATAGTAATAACGCCGTATCATAATACAATATGTTTAAATTGTAATCAAGTATGTCATGAACGATGTTCACTAACAGAAACAACAGAAGTAGGTGAAAAAGTACTTCAACGATGTGCTGTTATAGGATCAAATGGAAAATGTACCGTATGTAAAGCACATTGTTCATTTGATAATCATTATCATGATAGAAAATTGATAACACCTGTACATCGAACATTAAAAGCAATTGCAAATGATATACAAACACGATCATTAGCAGCTAAAGAAAATAAAGAAAAAGTTGATATGAAATGTGAAACAGTACAAGAAACAAAAAAACTTATTGAAGATGCATTAAATGAACAATATAATAAAGTAAAAGAGAGTTGTTATCGTATTAAACAAACTTGTAAAGGATTTAATGTTGTCGAAGAGTTATATATATTTATTAATTTATTAAAAATTGATTGTAATTCATTGAATTCACAATCAGTTATACGTCGATCAACACGTTTTATTGAAAAATTAGAAAAATTATGTAATGATTTACAGGATAATGTTACTACAGATGGATGTTATTCTTCGCCGAATATAGGAAAACGTGAAAAAAGTCGATCTACAACAAAACCGTCACTGGCCATGAATGTATCAAATAAAAGTAGCCGATCTCCATTAATGCCTTCATCTATACCAACGAATGAGATAGATAATATATTTGGATCACGTCATTCACTAAATGAAAAACCAAGCATCGATGGTATTGAGGATAAAAATGAAATAAGACGTTTAAAATCGGATGTTCAACGAAAACCTAGTTGTCCTAATGAATTATTGA